GAACGATAAGACTCAATCAGACAACCAAGATGAATATTCATGATGGTAAAGTACTTACAAAAAGACTACACATACAAATAAAATAAAATAAAATAAAAGAGTTTTCTTAAAGTGTGACTAGGTTGATTTCAGATATCTCCGATGCTAAGGGTCTGAATGGTGACGGCGGAATTGGTATTAAAAGCGATGCGGAATTAAAGTGCGGGATGGTGTAACTGCGGTTCGTGCGGTTTGCGGGATAAGTACGGTTTTGGTAAAATTAGCGGTGCGAAATTGTGTTGATTGGTGAAAATATGTTATTCGCGGAATTGAACAATTAAATAATATTAAAAAATTGTAAAATGTTATTTATCAATATAATCAATATAATTTAAAATTCAAATTTTCTATTTAGTGTTTTCATTGGTATTATTTTTTTGAAATATAAATATCAAAATTCATATGAATTTAACATTTTAACTACATATATAAATAACAAATTATGTAAAATACAATTAAAACATTATCGTTGATTTTGATAGTGAAATACTATAGAAAGGTATAATATAAAATATATGAATGAATATTTGAATAATCTCTTATATTATTTTGACTAAACAATTTTGTCCTTTTACGAAAGAGTTGCTCTAATTGATAAATCATTAAACTAACATATACTGTTTTAAAAACAAATATGATATTATAAATTAAATAACAAATAATAATTAATAAGTAAAATCAAAAATGCACCTAGAGTAAAAACGCACCTAAAACCACACCTTATTGAACATAGGAGGAAAAAAAACTAATTTATTAATAAAACATAACAAACAAAAAACTTTTTTTTTGGTTTTGGCTAAAGGCGTTATTGAGGGGAAATACGCCCGCTAATTTTTAAAAAATTTAAATAATGTAAAATAAATATATCTATATAATTAAGATAACTGAAGACTATTATCTTTATTTAGTGTTATTAGTATAAAATTGTATTTATTATTTAGATTACTACAATACTCATAAGATACATATATTAAAATGTTTTTTTTGCATCAAGACGTATATTAAACTTTATATCAGATTATTTACGAGTATATATTATATAAATTATGTAAACTACTTATCATACGTGAAAAAATCTGTTTGTTGGTCCTTTTAAAAGAAAAAAAATATTGTATGTTGCTAAATAAGTAAAAAAAAAAAGAATCTTGAGTTTTGATACACAGACAAAGAATGAAGGAGACCAGTGCTCTCTTTTTGTTAATTTAATTTTCACGTAACTCTAAAAATATATAGTTAAATATATTAATCAAAATAAAAAAAGTTATGTAATGTCTACTGTGCAAAGGCGTTTTTATACTGAACCGCATGGTTTTATGTGCGTGAAAAAATTATAGTGCGTTTTTCATTTCTCTGTGTATTTAAACACCTCGAAATACGTGTGCGGATTTAACTTTTTCGTTTTCTAAAAAACGCTCTTATGGACAAATATCGTGAATGGCGAAAACATTGCGGTATTTATAAATCCGCTTTGAAATCCGCGGTGAGCAAGTCACCAATCACAACCTAAGAGTCATATCATTCTCAACCCAGAAACATACCGCTAATTTCACTGACGCTCTTGATTGTTACACACGCAGAAATCTCAAATAAAAATAGGAAACTGAAAAATTGTCTTTAGACGTTATAAGATGGACTCACATGACGGTGCAACGGCCCTTTTCTTCGTTTGGTTGCATCGGCATTTGCTGGAACCGGTGTGACTCTGAGGGATTGTATGTGAACTCCGATGTGTCGAGCCCATACTGTTCCAATAAAAAGATCAGCGAGTCTAACTATCTCGTTAACTCCCTGTTTACTTCTGGCTTAAAAATTTGATTAAATCATGTTACCTTCTCCCTCATACGAGCACTCCAAGGGTCACTGCGGCTTGGGCGTTGGTCCAGAGTAGGAGCAACAGGGACACCCGTAACAGGGGCGGGTTGGCGGTTGATGAATGGCTGCCTGATTTGCCTAGGAGGAGCAATAAACTCATCATCACTGTCATACTCATCTGGTGTGTTAGCTGCCCTAACCATAAGGGCAAGCAAGAAAAGCAAAGCCTGCGAGCATTAAGAGTTTTTAGCGATGATGATTCAATGTTTAGCCTTGATATCAAAAGTTCTGAAAGTTTGATTGCTCTTACCTCAAAAATAACGGCTCCTAGGGCTACCCATCTGACAATGCTCCAATTTTCTCTCAGGAAATTATAGATGGTATCGAAGTTTCCAGTCTTGTCAGAAGGAATTTGCTAGAGAAACAGTTATATAAAACGGTTAGCTAAGTATGTGTACAGTCCTGTCTTCAGATAAAGGCAACAGGAAACCTATAACCCAAGAGAAGAGGAAAAAGATCACTCACATCTCTCCAGCTGTTGTCGAAGAAAATAAAAGCTGCAGCTCCAAGCTCAGCCAAGATCAACAAGATGAGAAGCAGAGAGTACTATCCTCAATTAAGGAAATAAAAAGGTTAAGACTTTTGGTTTGCTAAAGGATCAAAATATTAATAATGATAAGAAAAGAAATGATACACAAGATAAGCAGCAGACACTCCTTGAACAAGTACCAACACAGCCACAGCATGAAATAACAAAGAGAGCCACGCCGATACCAATGAACAAGTAGATGAACCTGCATTTCACGGGTCCAATATTATGTTCTGGACCCAAAATATCAACTAGTAAAGGACAACAAGTAGGGGTGTTACAAAAAAACAAAAAAGGGACAAAGATACCAAGCTTTGGGGAGATTGTCAAAGACACTGGAAGAGAGTGCGAGAGCCATAAGCATGGGTCTCCCAAAAGAGACGTAACTTTGGTCGTTACTGTTAAGAGAGTGATCGGTCTGCCTCTGGTACTCAACAAACAAGTAGATACCATAACCAATGATGCCAAGTCCAGCAACAGCCAGAAGAAAGTTGAGTAACTTTAGCAAACACTCCAAACAACCTCTGCAAGCCATCTTCTTCTTTTCTTTTTTTTTTACTAACAACTTAAACTTGTATTATGGGTTTACTCAGATTTTGCCTTTTAATCAACCAGTTCGAAGAACTATCCTGAAACTCAAAAAAAACATAAAAAAATAAAAAAAGAGATCAAAACTTATATCATTGCTCAAAGCCTATAGAATGTAAACGAATCAAGCATCGCAAAGAGATGCAATTGAGAGGTATGAAAATAAATCTTCCCCAACTGAAACTAAAAAAGGGAAAATGCTAACATCAAATCGCAAAGGTAAAACGATTCGGCGAAACATTTTCGTAACCAAAAATCGCTGACTCGGAATTACGAGATCGGAACTGGAGATCCGGGAGGATTTATGAAGGAAACTTACGGAGAATGTGTGAGATGATGATTCTTCGATCTTCGCGACAGGAAGAAGAAGAAGAAGAAGAAAAATCGGGATGAAGAAATGGAAATTTTTATTATTATTTTTTGAATACTTTTGTTTGGATTTTTGCTGTAGTGTCATTGGCATCTACTACTTAGCTGGCGTTTTTAAAAAGGAATTGGACTATTGAAATTTGAAAATATATTAGTTTTCTGTGGAGCGGAATGCCTACTCCCAGTCCAGACAATAAGAAAAAAAATCTTAATTCTTTTGCTGTTTCTAATTTACTAAATACTAGTATTGTCCCCATGCTTTGCATACTAATATTTTTCCATTAACAATATAATATAGATCAATAGTTATAATATAAATGGATAGTTGCACATTAAGTATAATAATTTTTGGCAAACCCTCTCTCAAAGAAAAGTATAATAATTTTCAGATTTTTTACAATTATTTTATAAAATTATATATCCGAAAAACTTTCAAAATTTATCATAGAAAATAGAATATATTGACAATTGATGATGGGGGTACTGGGAGATATATTAGGGCCTTTATAAAAAAAGTAAATAAAAAAATATATAAAAATTAGTGATAACTAAGGGTATGAATGTCATGCAGTATAAATACAGAAAAAATGCAGGAGATATTAAGTACAGTTCTATCTGTATTTTTCTTCCATTCAAGATTAATATTCAGAACAAATAGATTGCAGTTTAATTTGCTTGCAGATCACGCTACATGTAAAAAAAATGTACTGCAAATACAGCAAAAAAGAAGCAGGTCAAAAGCAGAGGCCCAATGGGTGATTTTTTCTTTTTCTTTTTCTTTTCTCTACAAATACTTCACCTAACTTCAATTATTTTTTTACTAACCAAAAATTCTATAATATGTTAAAAAACTTATTTATATATATGTATATATATTACTTGATATATATATATATATATTCATTAAATTAAAATAATTTTCTGTAAAAAATATTTTACACATTATTTTAGTATGCTATAAAATATATAACTATACTAAATAATCAACTGGAATATAAGCAAAAAAATGAAACTGAAACAAGACCAAAATTTACAAAACCTGAACGGATAATATTTTTTTATCTGAAAAAAAAAATCAAAATTGAATAAATACCTGAATATTCAAAATATAATAAAATACTACTATTTTACTTTTAAAGTTTCTATAATTTATAAGATACCTGAATATCAAAAATATAATAAAATACAAATTCGACTTAACATGGATATTTTTAGGATTATAGGGTTTTAACTCAGATTTTTGGGTTTTTTTTTGCTTTAAACTCGAAGTAAATCAAAATATTTTTAATTCGACTATGTTTTGGGTTTAAAAAATATGATATGAATCCGACATTAATTATTCAACCAATCTATTCTAAAAATGTTTGGTTCCTAAACGGATTGTAAACATTCTAACCCGAATAATTGAACCCAACTCCATTCGTAAATTCAAAATGTCTAGCATTTCGTTTAATAAGTTAGTTGATACAATAATATATATATATAATAGATAGTGTTAGTTTTATAGCTGAATGAAATGGTAAGAAAGAAACGAAAAAAACAAATTAAGATATGAAAATAAAACAAAATAAGAATACTCTGTATAATTTTTTTAATTGTGATGAATTTTCATATAATTTACAATTTCATTATATTTATAAAAATGATGATATTTATTGCTTTTTGTCAACTTTATATTTATTACTTATTTATAATAATTTCTATTTTGTTTAGATATTTATTTTTCATTAAATTTTTTATCATTTATTTATTAATTTATTAAATTAGCATGATATGTTTGATCTGCATTTGTTCTGCTTGATCTGCATTTGTTCTGCATGATCTGCATTCTTGTTTGATCTGCGTTTTTTGATCCGGATCACCCATTCGAAGCCTAAAACTGTCTTTTACGCAAACTGTTTTCCTTTTAATTTTTTTCAGTTATAAATTATATGACATGTGTCAGGATTTTACTGGTTAGGTGACTTGTGATTTAGTATATAAGTAGATTATTTATTGAGGTTTCTAATTTACTAACAAAAATATATCCAAGTTTGGAGTATATATAAATCAAAAACACAATTTTGAGAGCATATAAATGGTTATATATGCTTTCTATGTAAACTTTATATTTTTATTTAGCCATATACAGTAGTAGTAAAATATATTTTATTTCCAAAATCTAATTTCACTACAAGAAAACTCGTACTTTACTAGGACGGGTTTTCCTTGTTATTTCCTAGTAAATGACCATTTACTAGGAAATAACGAAGAATCGCGTTTCGTCGAAAGACGTTCATCGTAAAGCATATTTTCCTCGTAATGTCCTAGCTAATTTACGAGGAAACATTTCCTCGTAAACGCGTGGATAAGTTTTTCTCGTAAGGTCCTTGTAGCTTTTCCTCGTAATGTCATAGTAAATTGTTTCTTCGTAATCTCGTAGTACGATCTTTACGAGGAACTTACTAGGAAAATTTACGAGGACTTTACTTCGAAACCTTTACGAGGATTTTGCTTCAAAATATTTTTTTCTTATTTAAAAAAATATTTATAAATTAAAAATTATATATATTAAAAAATTAAATAAAAAACAAATTATAAATAAAAAATAAATAACAAAATATTTATAAATAACTAAATAATATACAATTAAAAAGTTTTAAAATTCATAATATACAATTAAAAACTAAAAAAAACTAAAAGGGATGATGCTCGTGAAATTGCTGCACGAAGTCGTCCTCTCCAATGTTGGATGCCGGCTGTGACTGTGATGGTGGAGGCTGTTGGGGTGGAAGGGCTCCGCTTTCCCGTCTCTGACGCAACATCTCCGCCACTTGCGGGTTTCCAACCGCCATAATGTCGACGATCTCGGTGAGCGTACTCACATGAGACTGTGTCGCCTGCAACTCTGTCCGCAGCTGAGCATTGGCATCGTCATGTTGGTGAACATAAGCCAATGTCACTGCGGGGACATCGTTAACCGAGCCAATCGCGACAATACGGCCCTCTTTCCTAGGGATGACCTGTAAATAAAAATATTAATAACGTAAGGAAAAATTTAAATAAATAATAAAAATTAATATTAAAACAAATTATTTACCTCCTCGTAAATCTTATCCACTTCAAGAGTGGATAATACGACTGGAGCCCCAGTCTGCTGAGTCAGTTGGGTCTGGCGTTCGTTATCTCGGGCAACAACCTCGTTGTAGATCCGCTCGGAAGCAGGATCTACAAACTGCCCACCCTTTTTCCGGTGGGTCCGCTCGTAAAGATCTTTCAGAGATGGAAGAACTCCTGTCTCTTTAGCCTAATTTTTTTAAAAAAATTAAATATTAATTTGGAATATTCAAATAAAATAAAAATTAAATAGTTATAAAAATCATCTTACCATGTCTAGACGAACTCCCCCGTGAGGTTTTCGGCCCGTGGTGTGAAGCATCTTCGTGTTGCCATACTCGTCTGTGGTCATGTGGTTCCCGGAGTTTGTCTGGGAGGTTCTGATCGAGTCCGGCAACCCCCAATAGCTGATGAGGCCATCCCACACCGTGGTTGTGAGGAAATCGGGTTTCCCGCGCTCGTAACCGTCTACCTGATTTAAAATAATTAGAATTAAAGTCAATAATATATATTTTTAAAACCTATACATATATTATAATTTATAAATCTATACCTGAAAGTCGCCCTTCCAGTTGTAGACCATGTCGCACGATCGTGCTTTTGCCTTGGCCTCGAACTCCGACTTCACCCGTTGGTGAATCCCAATAGACCAACAATATTTTTGCTGTAACCAGAAAAAATAAGAGACGGATTAGTTCAATAATATTAATAATTTTAAATGATTAAAAATAAATTAAGTTGATTTACTAAACTTACAGCGAACGATTTGAACCACGTTTTTTTTTTTTGTGGCTCGCCGTCATCTTCCAGTTTGGAACTGCATCGGGAAAGTATCCCTTGATACAGTCGGTGACGCTAGATCCGACACAATTGTCAAGACCAAACCTGGAAAGACAGAAAATGAATCATTAATTAGATTAATTAATTTGTAAATATTTTGTTAATTAAGAAATAAATTAATAAAAAAATTTAAAAATTAAAACATACCATAATACGTTTTCGCCGTCCCGTCGGATAGGATCTAACTCTGGCAGCCCTTCTCTGCCTGGAAGGGCCAAGATATCTTCCACCGTGTACA